AGAAACTCGCCAGGCGTTGGTGGCGCACGCCTTTAATCCCAGCACTCGGGAGGCAGAGGCAGGCGGATCTCTGTGCGCTCGAGACCAGCCTCGTCTACAAGAGCTAGTTCCAGGACTGGCTCCAAAGCTACAGAGAAACCCTGGCTCGAAAAACGAAACCAAACCAAAAAACAGAATAAAAAAACCTCTAGCTCTTATTATCCATTTATTACCCTATTATCTGTATCATTCAGGAAGCAGAGTCGGCAGCTTCATTTACAAGCTACCATCTCAACCCAGGACTTCCAGGAATTCATGTTCTATTCTCTGGAGTAAAACAAAACTGACAGGGGCTTGGCAGAGTCCCTTCCCTCACCCGTCTGTAGCGACCCGTGCTCAGACCTCACCTGGTTTTCTCTTGAGGAGGTGCTGAGCCTCAATGGCGGTGATCTGGGACACTGTGGTGAAGACGTGAGCGCAGTGGGCAGCGGCTCGCTCCATGCAGTAGCGGTGATAGATCTGCCTCTCACCTGCTTCCTTGTCCACATTGAACTGGGCAGGAAGGGAGGGGAATCAGGGTCCGGAGGAGTGGGCTAAGACTCAGGGAGGTCGGGACTGGCAGCTGGACTCTGAGAATAGGGTCTGGGCTGTTCTCTTGGGTGTGAGGGAGAGGTTCAGGGTCTGCCCCGGTGTCTAATGGTAGAAGGGCTGGGGGCCTGGACTCTTAGCAGCATGATTCTCTGCCAGGGCTTTGGGCTGTCATGCAATGCTTGTGTCTCCCACGCTTCCAGCTCACATTCTCCAGGTTGTTGTAGAAGTCCACGGCACCAGCACACAGATAGCGCCCCAGCAGCGTGGCATGGGTGGTGAAGATGGTTGCCACCGGCAAGCGCCGGGCACGGCACAGACACAGACCAATGCCTGCCAACCATTCATGGAAGTGGGCAACCACATATGGCTTCTCTTCGTTCTGCGCCAGGAACTATGGAGCAACGGGAACAGGGTCACTGTGTTTCCACGTGTCACAGAAGGAACCCGCGCCCCCCAGCATGCACTGACGTGAAGACAGCAGACAGCATTCACACAGACAAGGCCCTGAACCAGCTGACCTCGGTCCCAGAAGCTGATGGGAACTCGGTTGTTTGTTTGCCAGTGGATAAATCCTGGCAAGGCTGAAACGGAAGGACTAACATGCCCAAGTCCCTAAGTCCCGCTCTCAATTCCAGACTTAGTATCGCAATCAATGGCTTAGACTTTTTATGGGTAAAAACAGGATCAAACTTTCAGAATCCCTTGAATCAAGGCGTCCTGTTTCTCCTAGAGCGTTACAGACAAGTTTCCCCTAGAATCGGGGGAGGGAGCCGCCCAGATTCTGGGTCCTGAAACCAACTCTCAATCTGTAAGCATCAAGAGTCCCCTCCAAGAGCTTAGATGTAGTCAGCATCAACAGGACAGCAACTCCCAGAGTTTCTGTGACCCATCCCACTACTGACACCCCCTCCCGAGACTGGAGTAAAGGAAGCTGCGGCTGGCGCTTCTGAGAAAACAAGCTACACCCCTGGGCATTCGTATACCCCCAAATCAGTCGATCCTTGCATTAAAGAACCCACAATTCCAAGAATGCCCAGGGGAAGCCCACCCTCTGGCCAAGAAAGGAAGGTGATTAGCGTTTGCATCTGGGTAGAGAGGTGAGGAGGGGTCTGTAGCACGGCCTACCTCACCCAGGAACCAGGTGGTGAGGAAGCCAAACAGGACAGCGTCATTGGCCTCACGGTCGTACCAGGGTACCCCGATGTTGCAGGTGTCCCAAAGCTCACCCTTCCAGCGCTCCAGGGCCCAGGCTGAGGCCCCCACATCCAGGAGCACCACTAGGGGTCCCCCCTCGATCAGCCAACGCCCGAAATACACCTAGGAGAGAGGCAGAGGGAGGCTCAGGCAGCTGGCCTGGGCTTCACCCACTGCCGTGTTCCCGAAGCTGGGAACTGAGCTCAGCTGGCTCACTGTCCTCACCCACTGCCTCCCTCGTGCCCCTACCTAACTGCAGCCTGCTAGGTTTCTCCTCTGCCATGGCCTGTTTTGTAATCTGTAATCTGTAATCACACGCCTAACAACCAGGACTACATTTTTCTACCCATGGCCACTTTCCTAAAACTCGATGTCCCTCTGCCCGAACCTGGCTTGGTCCTGCCAGAGACTCACTGGGGTACCCCTCCCCCTCCCAGCTGTTGTCTGCCCTTTTGCTGGGAGGGGTCTATAATTAGGAACAGTTGCCCTGGGGGAGTGACGTGGCTGCTCTGGGGTCCCATAGGGACATGATCTGGCCCGACTGGATGTTGGAGCCCACCCCAAACACAGGTTGTGATAGTAGAACCCTGACCCTATCTGTCTTCCAACCCTAGTCTGTGCCTTCTGCCTGCCTCTCATGGCCTCTCTCCAGAAGTGTCTCTCTGTCTCTGTCTCTCTGACTCTCTGTCTCTCTCTGTCTCTCTCTCTCTCTAAGACAGGGTTTCTCTTGTCCTGACCTTGAACTCAGAGATCCACCTGCCTCTGCCTTCTGAGTGCTTGGACTGACTGACATCTCTCAAGACTGAACATGGGGCAGGTAGGGCTCTACCACTGAGCCACAACCCCAGCCCCGCATTGGGAGATTCTAGGCAGAGGAATCTACACTGAGCCACGCCCTTTTCCTCCTCTCTTTAGTCCCTGGACTTGCTCATCTCAGACTCTAGCCCTCTATTCTCCTCTCTCCATCAACACTCCATCTTTTTGCCTGCCTGGCTACTGTTCTTTACTTTCTTCATTAATTTTGAGACAGTGTCTGGTTAGGGTCCAGAGTGCTGGGATTACAGGTGTGCACACAGCACCTGGCTCTGGCTGTCTTTCTGTCCGGCTCCAGCTTGTTTCTACCCTGTGGGTCTGAGGAGCTCAGCTTAGATCCACCTCCATTCATCTATCCGGTACCACTGGCCTTCCTGACCAGACCCTATACCTGTGTATCCCTTTCTTCCCTACTCTGCTGGGACCCATGCCTCCCGTGTGGTCCCTGCTGGCAGGCCATGTTCCCACCCGCCTGGGTAGAGCTGTGTCCCACCTTACAGCCCTTGCTGTTCATGGAATCCAGAGTCCTCTTCAGCTCAGGAGTCGGGGGCTCCAGCAGCTCCACCTGAGTCCTCACGCCCTGCTCCGTGTAGGGTCCCACCAGGTAGTAGTTGTCACCCCACTCATCCCCAGTCACCTTCGCCTTCGTCTGCAGCACAGTGTAGATGCCACCCACTGTGGACCAAAGTGCAAAAGGACAGACAACCCCACCATTGGTCCACAGCTCTGATGGGACGGAAGACAGGCGGGCGCCCACACTTGGGAAGCAGAGGAGGTGGGGGCTGGGGTGAAGGAAAGCCCCGAGGGCAGACCTCTTGTGAGGTGAGGGGGAGGAGCGGGGAGTTAGGAGCTAGGAGAACAAGGACTGGGGCCCCAGGTTCTAAGGCTCCCAACTTTCGGATGGGAAGAATGGCACATGGCCCCATTCGGCTTCCCACAGCTACCTAAGGGAAGCTGGAATTCATAATCCTCACTTCCAGGGACCTTGACTATGATCTCTCAGGGAAGGGGCACAGGCACACTGCGCCCTGCTGCTCCTGTGACCCCACCTCAGATTGAGGAATCTAGGTCCTCAGTTTCTTGTCCTGGGACCAGCACCCTGGCAGGACACAGCTCTGTCTGCCAACTCCCACCATGCTGGGAAAGACAGTCTTTTTCTCCTCCAGGATGGAGAAAAACGAAACACTCAGATCCACTCAGCCCAGCCTCCTCATGAGCAAGAAGCTAGTGGTCTAAACCCCCCCGCCACACACACACACAACTGCAGGCTGTGGGTTCCTCCCATTCCAGGGTGCAAGTGACGGACCACAGGGAGAAACCTTTCCACTTAGGAAGCCATGGCTTAGGCCCAGGGCTCCTCCACAGCTGGGCATTCAAGTTTCCAGCTCTTTCCCACCTTGGATCTAAGAATTTGAGTGTCTAGGCTCCCCTCCTCTTTACACTAAAGCCGTCAGGTACACCATGCTCTCTGAACTATGCACGAATCCCAACTTTTAGGAGCAAACTCTAGTTCACAGTCACATCCTCTGGACCATAGACCCGAAAGCTCCAGTGCTCCCCAGGGTTTTAGATGCATCAGCTCCTTCGCCTTGTAGATCCGAGGTCTCTCGGCCCTCGAAAACCTCCCTCCAAGACCCGGGAATCTCTCTCTGAGTGCCCTCTCCCCTACATCGCAGGACCTGAAGCCTCCTTCCATCTTGAGAGTAGCCTCTGGTCCCTTCCCCCCAGGGCCTAGGACGCCTACTCCTGGCCCACCTCAAGGACACAGAAGTCACAGGCGCTTTTCACAGGACCCAAGCGTTCGCCCACGAAGCTCTGTGCCCGTATGAACAGGATTTGGGACCCCCATCCTCGACTGCCCTCCTCGGTCAAGGGACGGAGGCTGGCGTTCTCACCCTTGTTGGCCACCTCCCAGGCCACCTCGAAAAGCACTGTGTTCTCCGGGTCGAACTCATCCTCCCAGTCTTCCAGTCCTGGAAGCGAAGACATGGAGAGACTGCGGCTGAGAGGCATGGCTGCTACAAGCAGGGGACTTCGAGCACCAAAAATGGAAACCGGAGAGGTCGGCTGGGAATGCACCAGACTTGGTGACCGGCCGGGTTAGCGGGTGTCCCACGGGAAGCTTGCAAAGCACTCCGCTTCCTATTGCACGACCGCACCCCCGCCCCGGAGCGCTCCGACTCAGGTAGGCAGCACGGCGACACTGAGTCGGGCGAGCAGCTGCAGTGATGCCTTGTGGCCGCCAGGAGGCACTGCCCACTCTGCTGGTCTAGCACGATTGGTCCGCGTCTTGGGGACGGGACTGCGGCGTCTTCTTATTGGAGGATGGGATCCAGTTTCTCTAGCCAGACCCTCCCGGGACCTACAGGGGGCGGGGCTTGTTGCTGCGCAGCATGGAAATAATTGGTGAAGAGAACTGTCAGTCTCAACTGCGGCCCCAATTTGGGGAGGAAGGGTGGACAGAGGGGAAAACGATCGTGGAGGACGTGTGGTTGCTACAAAAAGTGTTCAGGATTTTGCAATCGGACTTAGCCGTTGGGGGTGGGGGTGGGTGGGTAAAAGGAGGAGGAGCAGCAGATGTCAAGAACCCGCCCAAGATTCAGACACCCGCCTTTCAATTTAGCCTCTGGTATGGGCGCGGCCAGGAGAGTTTTACATATTTTATGAACCATAGAGAGGGCTGGATGACCGGGAAGCCTAGAGAGAACAAAGGCCGCTCCTGGCCGATTTCCGTTTCCGCTGAGGCATTGGCGGTTGGTGTGCATCATGGCAACCGTGGTAAGTGTTGGGTGCTTGTGGAGACCTGAGAAAAATCCTCCTTGTGGAGTCTGAGGAGGCGGTCTGCTGGAAGAGTGCTAAGGAAGATGCTCGGTTTTGGGGGAGGACTCATGAGTCTGAGGGAGGATGCTGAGGAGGATCCTGGGTCTGAGCAAGAGATATAGAGGAGGATGCCTGTGTGCATGAAGGAAGAGGGCTGAGGAAGTCGCCTGGGTCTCAAGGAGGCTTGAGAGGGCACGTGGGACTAAGGGAAACATTGGGAAGAATGTAGCAAGGGCTCAGGAAGGAGTGCTGGTGTGTGCACCTTTCTGTGTGAGCTAGGAGGTCTGGAGCCTAAAGGCCTGGGTCTGAGGGAGGACTGTGTGAGGCCCGGTCTAGGGGAGGCGGGCCGGTGAGGATGCCTGGACTTAATGGAAGAGGGCTGACCTGGGTCTGAAAGGAGAGCCTGGTGTCTTGACCTCTGCGGAAGGAGAAAGCTAATCGTCGTGGCCTTAGAATATGATGGAGAAGACAACTATGTCTAAGAACTAGGTCGCGTCAGGCGGTGGTGGCGCACGCCTCCAATCCCAGCACTTGGGAGGCAGGGGCTGGCGGATCTCTATAAGTTCCAGAATAGCCATGACTGTGCAGAGAAATCCGGTCTTGAAAAACAAGAACAAAAAAGAAGCCTAGGTCTACCAGGAGGCGTTGTGGAACACACCTTTAGATCAAGTACTTGGGAGGCAGAGGCACGCAGATCTCTGGGTTCGAGGCCAGTCTGGTCATCTACAGGGCAAGTCTTTTGGATATCCAGAAATACATAGAGAAACCCTCTATGTATCTATCCAAAAAAAAAGGATACTAAGTGTGATGGAAGAATCATGTGGATACTCAGATTTGTTTTTTACACACACAGAGACATACACACACACACACAGACACACACGGGTTATACTGTTTAGCTCTGGCTGCCCTCGAACTCACAGAGATCCGCCTGCCTCTGCCTCCCAAGTGTTGGAATTAAAGGTGTGCGCCTCCACCGCCTGGCAGGATGCTCAGATGTCTATGTGAATGAATAAGTAAACAGGAGCCTGGACTGGCAGGACCTTGATTCATCCCTCATCATGTTACAGAAACTTCATCTTCCTCCTGGTAGCGTCGGTGGCCAGTTGCACAGTCCTCTGTCTCAGTCCTGAGCTTTGGAGAGACTAGCAACTGTGAGCCTGTGCTGTGTGCTGGAGAGCATGTAAATAGCGTGTCCAGAGGGACGAGAACACAGTGCGGGTTCAGAGCTTGGCGCCTTGTCCAGAGACTGTGTGCATTTCCTGGAACCTCATACAGGGCACATGTCTGTGAACACATAATTACTTATATGTTAAAACAAGAGTAAACCCCAGCAAGTGAGACCAAACATACCGGGCCTAGCATCCGTTCCCTAGACAGGTGAAGAAATACTGTGACCTTTTGGTGGCCTTAATTCTGGTGTTGAGCCCAGTCAAGTTGTAGGAAGGGCAGTGGAGAGCCTGTTGCTGTTAACCATGGTGAGGAGGAGGAGGAAGAAGATGGGGAGAAAAGAGCCACACTTGAAGGTCTGTCCTCTGGCTCAAGAGGTGGGCCGGGCTGGCGATGTGTGTCTTTTGTTTTCGTTTTGTTTGTTCTTCGTTCTCATATGGCACGGATGTAAGACTTCAGCTGTGTTTAGCCTCAGGTCAGAGCTCCCAAAGCATTTCCTGGTAGTCACTTCAAATTTTTTAAGTAATTTTTAAATATATTTTAAGTTTATTACTATATTTTGTTATATGTAGGAATTTGTACATGCACCGTGTAATTTCAGTGCCTAAAGAAGGCCAGAAAAGGGCATTATATCTCCTGGAACTAGAATTATGGATGTGAGCCAAACCTGGGTCCTTTGCAAGAGCAGCAAGTTCTCTTAACCACTGAGCCATCTCTGCAGCCCCTGTTTTTACATAGTTTTCCTGTGTATATGTCTGTGTACCATATGCGTGCCTGGTGCCCACAAAGGACACAGGAGGATTGGAGCTACAGATGGTTGTGGGCTGCCATGTGGTTGCTGGGATTGAACCTACCTGGATCCTGTAGAAGAGCAACCATGTTCCCAAGAGAAAAACAAAACAAAACACCACTCTTAAGCCCTGAGCCGACTCTCCAGCCCATAAATTATATTTTCATTTATTTTGTGTGTGTATATATTTGTCTGAGTGACAGCTTGCCAGGGCTCATGTACACATCAGAGGATAACCTGTGGGAGTGGGTTCTCTCATTCCACCATGTGGGTCCCAGACGTTGAGTTCAAGTGGTGAGGTCTGGAGATGGGCACTTTCCTAATGGCTTCCTCCTCAGTGCCCCTGCCCAACACACTTCTCCTTGGAGGCCTCATTGTCACCCTGACCCTTGACTCCTGCACTCGCCTGAGCTCCGATCTCTGACCAGTGGCCTCGACAGTTTGAAGGTGCCCTCAGACGGCCAGGAGCCACTTGGATAAAGGGCTTATAGATTGTGGCAACCTCCGAAGCCTCATGACAGAGCCATAGCCTCCACATTCGGGGGATTCTGTGTATAGAATTCTAGTTCCCCCTCCAGGACATAAGGGCATTTCTTCCTGAGTTCCATGTGGGCACCAGAGAGCCAGCACAACCAAATCTGGGTCCCAAGAGTGTTGCCAGCATGAGCCTAGTAGCCATTATTTATATATTTTTGGATTTTCAAGACAGGGTTTCTCTGTGCAGCCCTTACTATTCTAGAACTAGCTCTTGTAGACCAGGCTGGCCTCAAACTCACAGAGGTCTGCCTGCCTCTGCCTCCTGATTGCTGGGATTAAAGGCGTGCGCCACTACCGCTTGGCCCAAGGAAAGAGTTTCTTAATTAAGATTCCTTTTCCCTAATAACTCTAGCTTGTGTCAAATTGACATCAAACTAAAACTGACCAGCATGACAGGTTTATGGCTCACGGTTGGAGGGGAGACAGTCCCTTGTGACAGTAGGAGCCCGAGGCAGCGGGTCACATTGTGCCCTCAGTCAGGAAGCAGAGAGTGATGAATGCTGGCGTTTTCCCATTCAACTCAGTTCAGAAACAAACATGTTTCCAGACATGTGCAGACATACCCAGAAGTTGGTTTCTATGGTGATTATAAACACCATTGAGATGAAATGTGGCAGGATGGAGCACAGTCCCCCACAGCAGGGAGGAGTTCTGCCACCGACCTCTACTTGCTGGGTCTTGAATTCTAAATGGGTGTTCGTTCATCAGTGGACAAAACTGATCTTGTAGAAGGCAAACTTAGCAGTACTATATGTCAGGAGAGCTGGGTTCCTGGGAGTGTGTCTTTGTTTGCTTGCCCTATGGACGGCCTGTGTGTAATAGTTTGGGGTCTCGTGCTCCTGGCGTCCATCCAGCCTCCTACGAAGAGTAAATTGGAGAACTGCACAGCAGGAGCCAGGCTGTGACAGCCATTGAGGACCCTGGCAGGCCTGTCCAGGGAGAGGCATGCTGAGCATCGTGCTTTCTTAGTTCATAAAAATATCACAAGGTGTGCAAGGGCCACTATCTGGATTTCTGTGTAGCTGGGGCTAGCCCCAGGTTTCGAGCATGCCTCCTGACTCGGCCTCTCCCGTTGTGTTGTTACAGACACGCCTCTTTCCGGGCAACCCCACCTTTCCTACAACTCCCTCCCCGAGCCTTTGCTTCTATTTCTGGACCATTGCTTTCTCTTCCTGGAATCGTGTCTTATTTTATGCATGTGACTGTTTTGCCTTCGTGTATGTCTTTGTCTGTGGAGGCCAGAAGAGGGTGTCGTGCCCCCGGAGAGCAGCCAGTGATCCAACATGGAATCGTTATGTGTAGAGCCCACATGCTTAGGACATTCAGTGTTCTTCCTTTTTACGCCTGAATGGTATTCCATAAGTGAATAGACCATAGCCTGCTTGTTCACCTACTGGTCACTGAACACGATGTGTGTGGCTTTTGGGTGTTGTGAACATTGGTGTGCTTGCTGTGTGGGAGCTTCCAAGGGCTCAGACATCCCAGTACATGTTTACTCCTGTCTCTCCTCTGAGAGGGAGTAGTGTTAGCTCCTGCTTCGGGAGCTCAGGAGACCCTGGTAAGTATTTGTTGAATGAGCTCGGTACTCTAATATGTCAGACCGTGAACTGGAGTCCAGGTGTGCCAGAGAGGTGCGAACTGTGCCCTTCAAGGGGCGTGCACCTGCTAGGAACCAGAGCACTGCTCTGCGAGTCTCCTGGGCATCTGCAGTGGGCTGATCACCCTGCCATCGGTGACAGCACAGAGGGGGTCTGCCTGTTAGGGAAGGAACATAACCGAACTCCTGGGGGACCTGGAGGAAGGAGAGGAGACAAAAATGGGGCACGTGGGAATCTTACACATCCATCCTCCTTACCTACAGGCAGCCACCACCAAAGTCCCTGAGATCCGGGATGTGACGAGAATCGAGCGAATTGGTAAGTGCGCAGGGACAGGACAGGGGAGACTGCAGCTGAGTGTTCAGACAGACAGACAGACAGGCGGGCAGAGAAGGATGTGGTAGGTCCTGCTGCCATATACCTGGTGCCTCCATGGTTTCTGGAGTATCTGAACCGTGTTCCCTGCATCCAAGTGCCTGTGGTTGTCCAATGCTTCCTGAGGGTGTACAACGTGCTTCGTGTCTGGTGAGAACCCTCAACAGATGACCGTGAGATTCATTGATGCACATGCTGGAAGTCCCCTGTGACCCCAGAAGGTTCAAAGTCTGTCATCCTATCTTTTATAATTTGAAAAATGGCAGGGGAGGGAGAGAGAAAGAGAGAGAGAGAGAGAGAGAGAGAGAGAGAGAGAGAATCATGCAACAGGGCTCATGTGGAGGGGAAGCAGGGAGACTGGCCTCTGGAGAGAGGAAGAGAGAGTGTGTGTGGTGGGGGGAGGTGGGCAGGAAGGACCTTTTATGAGGGGATGTATTGCATGTGCTGTAGTGACTTAGCAGATGGCATCATCAGGCCACCACCACCCCCACTGAGCCACAGCTCGCCACCTTCAGCGAGCCGGGGTGCCGAAGCTGGTGGGTGTCTTCCAGGAGTCCCTGCTGGCCTGCTGTTCAGTAGTCACCCCCCCCCCCACCAAAGACAGTAGAGGACTGTGGGTTCCAAGTGCAGACTCATGGTGGACTCTATGAGCCCAGCACCCAGGCTACTGTCTCCGCGCCTCAGCTTCCTGACCTGCAAATTGGGGCTAACAGTTGCCCTTTGTGAATGTCAGACTTACTGAGATGAGAGACTGTGGGTGGTGTGGTAGCTGAGGCAGAGGAACATGGGTTCCAAGGCAACCTGGGCAACTTGGTGAGACCCTGTCTCTAAAACTTAAAAGAGAGTGTTTTAAGCATGGCACATTGATACTTCCTCGTTTAAAGGGCTGGAGCCTGTTGCAGCTGACCTGGTAGAGACCAGCTACACCAATGACCACCTCTGGATGCTGCCTATCCAGGCTTTTAAATTTTTCTTCTTTGTTTTTTTGAGACAGGATCTTTTATCTTTTCACCTACTCACTGTGTATCCCTGGCTGTCCTAGAACTCACTCTGTAGAGCAGGCTGGCCTCGAACTCACGGAGACCCACCTGCCTCTGCCTCCCGAGTGCTGGGATCACAGATGTGTATTGCCATGTGGCTGATGAGTTCTGCTTTACTGAAATGAAGCAACCCTTATCCCAATGCCTGGGCAGAGCTCAGGGACCCAGACATCCCCAGCGCTCGCTAAATCTCATCCCACAAAAGTGACACAGCCCCCTTGAAAAGTGTGGTAGCATCCGGCGTGCCTGATGGTCCGGCACCTGTGTCCTTTGAGCTTTGTTACAGATCTCCTGTCCTCACCCCTGCCTGGGTGGGGTCAGGGCTTCGGCCCTAACCTATCTGCACTCTCTTCTCATCCCAGTGGTTGGGCTCAGGAATGGTAGCAGCATGCTCTGGCTTGTCAGGGTGATGTGGAATGCCAGCCCTGAGGGCCAAGTACCAGTATCCTCCCACAGTGGTCCTTGCTGTTCGTTCTTGAGCCCATACCTGGGACTTTGGTGGCATCATTAAGTGCTCGGATGCTGCACACTTTACCGTACATGCTCAGGCATCTTCCTGACCTCCTTTGACCGAGGAGGCAACCTGAGCTCTGAGGGAAGCCCTTGACTCAGAGTCCAATAGCGTGGAACCAGCCAATGACTCTTCCCTTCCTCCCACACAGGCGCTCACTCCCACATCAGGGGTCTTGGATTGGATGATGCCTTGGAACCAAGACAGGTAGAGCTTTGGGGCTGGGTATGCGGGCTGCTCCTGCCAAGTTGGGCAGGGCTATTCCTATTTTCAGACCTCTTGATTCTATGCAAAAGCAGTTCAGCCACAGTGGTGCACACCTGCAATCCCAGTGCTGAGAGGCAGAGGCAGAGTTCTGGGAGTTCAAGGTCAGCCTGGTCTGCAGTGGGAGACCCTGCCTCAAAACAAACAAACAAAAAAAAAAAAACAAGAAGAAAGTCAGTACAGGCAGAATGTGGGCCAGGGTGTGGTGGGAATATACCAGTGGCTTTGGAGGCCATTGGTCACCTTCTATGCCTTTCACCTCCTACCCTCCAGGCTTCCCAGGGCATGGTGGGGCAGCTGGCTGCCCGGCGCGCAGCTGGTGTGGTGCTGGAGATGATCCGAGAAGGGAAGATTGCAGGGCGGGCCGTTCTCATTGCTGGCCAGCCAGGCACCGGGAAGACAGCCATCGCCATGGGTAAGAGGCCAGTGAGTCCCTTCTGTGGAAGTCAGGAACAGGATAACTTCAACAGACACTCCTAGAAGCATTAGGAGGAGGCTCTCTAGGCCACTGAGAAGTTATAGTTAAACGGGGTCCCCTGCCTTCTAGTCTCAACATTTTCTGCTTCCATGTTGGGGTCACCATGTATTCCAAGAAGGCTGTGTAAGCGCCCACCTTCCCCACTGTAGTCCAGTAGGAGCAGCTGCTCTGTAGGGAAGCCGTTTGCATCTGCATTTGTGATTCCATCGCACAGCGCCGCAGAGCAGGCTGGGCCTTTAGAAGTCAACAGTCTTGGCTGGCCAGGAGATGCACCGCCTTTGCCTCCCAAGTGCTGGGATAAAGGTGTGCGCCGCCGTGCATCATTGTTTTGTCGTTTTTAAACTGAATCGTTGCTGTCTTCATAGAGTGGGGGTTCTGGGGTAAGGACAGATGGCCCTCTCTGCAGCAAGCCCATTAGTGACTGAGGACCACAGCTGCCTCTCTTCCTTCAGGGTCCTCCTCAGGCACCTTTCCCTCTGAGGCTCCCTGATCCACCTGTCCCACTCCCACCTCTGCCAAGACTGTAGGGCCAGGGGTGGCTCCGTCCGTTCCGAAATGGCACTACCAAGAGAGGTGGCCGTGTCACCGTGCCTTGCTAGGTGCTGTGTGCTGAGGTGGAAGACTACAGAATGTGGAAACTAAATGGCTGGTAGGGGCAGACACGGAGCAGAGCCGTGGATGGTTTTAAGGATGTCTGTCGGGGAGCGTGAACCACGGAGCCCCGCTGTGTCAGTGACCTGGGGCCAGCAGCCACAGCTGCCTGACTTCTGCTCCCACAGGCATGGCCCAGGCGCTGGGCCCCGACACACCGTTCACAGCCATCGCAGGCAGCGAGATATTTTCTCTGGAGATGAGCAAGACTGAGGCTCTGACTCAAGCCTTCCGCCGTTCCATCGGCGTTCGTATCAAGTGAGTAGCGGATGGATGTCCACTCTGCTTGCCTGAAGCCCTGGTCTGTGAACCAGGGTGTTGGGGGCCAGTCTGACCCAGGCTCTGTTGTCTGTCCTGCCAGGGAGGAGACAGAGATCATTGAAGGCGAGGTGGTGGAGATCCAGATTGACCGGCCAGCCACGGGCACGGTGAGTCTCTGTGGCTTCTTAGTCCCTCGCCTCTTGCTTCAGCCACATTCATGGCCAAGAGAGTGTGTGGGCTGATGAGTTACTGTGGGCACCAAGAACCAGATGCTTCCCTTCCCCCAGAGCTCCTTCATGCTAGGCCCACCCAGGTGACTTACCTCCCCACACTTCCTGCTTCCAGTTGTCACCCAGATGTGTCTGCCTGGCCAAACCCATGTGTCTCAGGCAGCTGCCCTGTGTTTAATTTCATACCTTTAAAGTTGCTAGTGAGGTGACTGAGTGTGAAAGGCCCTTGTTGCTAGGCCTGGCGTGCGCTCCTCCCACAGCCCATGTATGGAAGGAGCCAGCCGCTCACTGACTCTCCCCCGAGCTGCACCTGTGCACACGCGCCCATGTGTGTAAAGAAATGCATGTTTTTAATCTGGAGAATAAATAGTCTAATAGGTTTTCCTTCATCCTCTTTTACAGCCGCTCTGGAATCTCATCTCTCACTAAGGAATGAGTTGAGATTGCAGAGGGCTGAGACATCAAGTCTAGAAGCTTCAGAACTTCTCTGTTGCAGGGGTTGCTAGGGTGGGACCTCCTGCCTGTCCATGTAAGCTCTCCACAGCCACTCTTTTAACACCAACCATTCCAGAGCTTGTGCTTTGGTGGCTGTACACTCAGTGTCGTGCAGCCATCACTGCCTCTACCTAGTTCTAGAATTTTCTATTACCCCATAAAAAAATTATACCTGTATGCCAACAGCCCTGACGTTCCCCTACCCCAGCCATGTGATCTCCTCCCACTTCTGGATATGCAGGTTCTGGCTACTTTGTAATAGGCATGTAGGGCGGTGGGCGAGCTCCTGGTTTCGAAGTTTGTGTTGCTGCTGGGCATGGTAGCACACCTTTCATTCCTGCACTCAGGAGGCAGAGGCAGGGGGTCTCTGTGAGTTCAAGGCCAGCCTGGTCTATACAGTGAGTTCTGGGCTACACAGAGAAGCTGTTTTGATAAGCAAGCAGAAAAACCCACCCGTGTGTTGCTGGATTTTCACGTGATGTTTCAGTTGCTACTGAAATGCCTGGAGAAAGAAGTGCTCCAGCATTGACCCAACCCTTGGCACTTCCACTTCTGTGTCATGGGTGGACCCTCCTCCTTTTCCATTTGCTCTGTGGATGTGAGAGTGAGTGTGTGTGTGTGTGTGAGTGAGTGTGTGTCCAAACTGCCCTTGAACCCTCAGATCCACCTGCCTATGCCTCCTGAGTGCTGGGATTAAAGGCGTGCAACATTGTACCAGCCCCGGATGTACTTGTGTATGCATGTTGTGTGTGCACCCTTGTTCATACATGCACAGACTAGAGGAGGATGCTGGGTGTCCTGCTTTGTCACACTGCTTTATTTCTTAGAAACAAGGTTTCTTTCTGACCTGCAGCTAGGCTGGCAGCCACCAAGTTCCGGTGATCCTTTGTTCACCCCCGGTAGTGGGATCTCAGGCCTTCATGGGGCCATGCCTGGTTTATTATTGTTTTCATTAGCATGGGTGCTGGGATCTAAAGTCAGGTCCCTGTGCTTGCACAGCAGGTATACCCATCTGCTGAGCGTCTCTCCAGCCCAGAGTGGCCCGAGCAGTTCTACAGCTCAGGGTGACTGAGTTTCTGATGGCCCGCCTCTTGAGAGCTAGGATCGTAGGCATCACTGTGCCTGGGTTGTGTGGTGCTGGGGAAGGGTCTCAGGGTTTCGTGCATGATAAGCAAGCCCTCTGCTGAGCCACATTCCCACCCTATTGCCTTCTGAGATAGGATCCCACACCAGGCTGACCTCAGCCTCCTGAGCGCTGGTTGTTGGCATGAACCAGCTCTCCTGATTTGTTTGTGTTTTCTTTGTCTTTTTCTTTTTTAATGTGCAGCCCTCGTTCTATTGGTAATTAAGTTTTAGATTTTATAAATATGGTAAGACTGTTACTATAGGTAAAGCTGTTTCTAAGAAACATCTTTAAGATTTTTGTGTATGTATAGCTGTGAATTTTTTCTTTAATGTCTCAGTGGTTAAGAACATGTACTGCTCTTCCAGAGGACCCAAGTTCAGTTCCTAGCACTCACATTGAATGACTCACAGCCACCTGTAACAACAGTTCTAGAGATCTAATAATACCCTCTTCTGGCTTTTGTGGGTACCTGTACTCATGTGCATTGACCCACACATAGACACACATGTGCTTGTAATTAAAGATAATAAAATGTTAAAATATTTATGTTCAAAACTGGGCAGTGGTGGCGCACGCCTTTAATCTAGCACTTGGGAGGCAGAGACGGGTGGATCTCTGTGAGTTCGAGGCCAGCCTGGTGTATAAGAGCTAGTTCCAGGACAGCCAGGGCTGTTACACAGGGAAATTCTGTCTCAAAAATAAAAACAAAACAAATCAAAATATTATGTTCAGATAAACTCAGCTCCCCATTAGTCCTCCTTTTATTGTGCCTCTTACCTACAGGGGCCAGGAACAGACAGTTAGTTCCTGAGCCAGGCCTGTGTAGTACAAAACGTGCTTATGTACCAAGAAAAATGTGTGAGTTTGTTTGTAGCCCTGGCTGTCCTGGAACTTTCTCTGTAGAACTTTTCTCTGGAGATCCTCCTGCCTCTGCATCCCTAGTGCAGAAATTAAAAGAGTGTATCATCTCCCAGCTGGATTTTTTTTTGTTTTTAGTAATGTTTTATAAAATGTTTTTGTTTTGTTTTGTTTTTTAAATTTATTTAGTGTGTAGAGGTCAGACAAACTGTGGGAGTTCTTCTCCCACTCAAGTTCCAAGGTCATTAAGATTGGTTCATGTGCCGTGCCCACCGGACTGCTTTGCTGGCCCAGCTTCCTTTTATTTTATTCTCTCTCTCTCTCTCTCTCCTGTCTTTCTTTTTTTCCCCCCCCCCCCCCATTTGTTTGTTTTGGTTTTCAAGACAGGGATTCTCTGTGTAACAGTTGTGGGTGACCTGGATCTTGTTTTATGGATTGGATGGGATGACCCAGGCTCAATTGCCTTTATTTGTTGTTTTTATTTTGTTATCAACAAAACAGTTTTTTTTCTACTGTGGTCAGATGCTCAAGAGGCTGAGGCAGGAGGTCTTGTGAGCCCAGGGGTTCAAGTCTACCCTGTATACTAGAATGAGACTTTGTCTCAGATCATGGGAGTGGGGCTGTGGACAGACGACCTGCCTAGAGCTGATGGATCAGTGTGAGGGCCCAGGGGCGTGACAGGTGCATGCTGGGCCCCCTTTGATTTGGGCATGAAAGAGCCCTATTAGCATTTGGCACTTCTTCCCACTCTTCTGTGGGCTCACAGTGACACACAGCACACACTGGAGAGTACCACTTAAGTCCTGGCGCCCATGTAAATCACCTTCCAAGGCCATCCCCTCCACAGCTTCTTGTGCACGCCAGTTTTGGTCACAAAAGGGTGAGTTGGTCTGAGTGTTTCCTGGTGTGTCCCCTCAGGGATCCAAGGTGGGCAAGCTGACCCTCAAGACCACGGAGATGGAGACCATCTATGACTTGGGCACCAAGATGATCGAGTCTCTGACCAAGGACAAGGTCCAGGCTGGGTGAGCCTTTGCATCCATGAAGGTGGCTGGGGCAGTGAGAGTCCTCTCTTTTATTTTCCAAAACAGCTTCTCTGTAGCCCTGGCTGTCCTGGAACTCACCTTGTAGACCAGGCTAGCCTTGAACTCACAGAGATCCTCCTGTCTCCACCTCCTAAGTGCTGAGATTAGAGGCGCTCCCACCCCTGACCCCCTCCTGAGTACTGGGATCAGAGGCGTCCCTGTCCCTGACCTTCCCCTAGGTGTTGGGATCAGAGGTGCCCCCGCCCCTGACCCTCTGCTGAGTGCTGGGACTCTCACTGTGTCCTGTTGCCCCTGCAGGGATGTGATCACGATAGACAAGGCCACAGGCAAGATTTCCAAGCTGGGCCGCTCTTTTACACGTGCTCGAGATTATGATGCCATGGGCTCCCAGGTACTTGGCTGACCCTGACCTGGCAATGGGATGTTTCTATGTCTTTTGTTACATCGTGGGGGCTGGATGCTACGTTACCTCTGGTGTGCAGCCCCTGGTGCCCATGCTCTTGCTGCCCTCACACTTGCCCTTGGCCCCACAGACCAAGTTTGTGCAGTGTCCGGATGGGGAGCTGCAGAAGCGCAAGGAGGTGGTTCATACCGTGTCCCTCCATGAGATTGACGTCATCAACTCCCGTACTCAGGGCTTCCTGGCCCTCTTCTCAGGTCAGCTGTCCCTCCCCATTAGTCCCCAGCACCGTGACTGCGCCCATCTTCTGGTGTGCCCCCTTCTTTCTCTTTCCTTGGCGCCACCCACCCCCTGGTCTTTGTATCCCTCTCCTGGCGCTGCCCCCTCCTCAGTCTGCCTTCTGTTCTCCTTTTGAGTTTATCCTTCTGTGCATGGCCCTGAGTTCTTCCTTGGGTTCCTGCCTTCTGTCCTTTGTGGGGCATTCCAGGGTCCTGGCCTGGCTCTGTAGCACTACAGCTCCACTCTGGCATTCACTTCCTTTGTCTTTGCCACCTCTGGGCCTCAACCCAGCCCCTAGCTCCACTGATGTCCCCTGTCTCTGGCAGGAGACACAGGGGAGATCAAGTCAGAAGTCCGAGAACAGATCAATGCCAAGGTGGCTGAGTGGAGAGAGGAGGGCAAGGCGGAGATCATCCCTGGCGTGAGTGACTAGGCTGAGGTGGGCGGGTCTGGCCTGGGTACGCAGTCTCCACCCTGTTCTTGATCTGTGTCCCACTGGCTTCCAGGTGCTGTTCATTGACGAGGTCCACATGCTGGATATCGAGAGTTTCTCCTTCCTCAACCGGGCCCTGGAGAGTGACATGGCCCCTGTCCTCATCATGGCCACCAATCGAGGCATTACCCGGTGAGCAGCTTTAGAGCCTTCGGGTGAAGGTGCACTCTGGCCCGGGGGTGGTGGTAGCCTGAGCACCTCCTCACCAAGCTTGCCTTTAGCGTTGTCCCCAGTCCTGGGCAGCTTCAAAATCTGTTCAATTTACAGTTGAGAACTGTTGGCCAAGGCACTCAGAGACACCCCAGGAAGTCACCTGAGCTGAAGACGGGGCATCTGTTAGGCACATCACAAACTGCGGTGGCCCATCAAGTCACTCACCCAGACACTTGGTCACCTGACCCCAACGATACTGTGACGTGCTGGGCATGGGGCCACCCACTCCACCAGTGGACTAGCACTGTGTAGACTGAGACAGGACCCGAGTGTGGAGAACCAAGGAGGGACGGGGCTCAGGGTGCAAGGCTAGTGGTGGCTCATGAGCTTCGCCAAGCACATCACCTTCATGTTTTACCATGGCATCTCCCTTTTTGGTTGTTTTTGAAGTTGTGTGTGTGTAGTCAGGGGGGTATGCAGAGGTGCAGATTCAGCTGTGGGCAGAGTCCAGAGCTATAGACCCTGCAGCTGGCCTTAGAAGCGGTTATGAGCTTCCCAGTGTTGGTACTGGGAACCTCTCTGGGTCTTCTGCAGGAACACTATGTGTTAACCATCTCCTCAATCCCTTTCTCTTTTCTGATGTATTTTTATGTGTGTGTCTCTGTATATGCACGCATGCATGTGGTCCCCACAGATGCCACAAGAGTGCATCATAGCCCTGGAACTGGAGCTAGATGTGGCTGTGAGGAAGGCAGAGGGCAGACAGCTTCGCCTGCTCTGCTCTGCACTTCCGCTTCACAGCTGGCTGGCAAAACCCATCGGCTTTCCCAAGGCCGCTTTAGACCAGGGCACGGGGGAGCCAGTCCTGAGGTCTGCACTGGCTGAGGGAGGGTCCAGTCCCTTTGTCACCTGATGTTCACCTGCAATCCCTAGTCCCTGTGTCAACCTCTCCCCCAGTCTGGAAAGTGCAGGGATGGTAGGTTGGAATCCGGCAGCTGTCCTGAACCACCTCCCAAGGACAGCATTGTCGTTGTGGCTAAGCTGCCTATGACTAGAACGATTTGTTATGGGTCCCATTTCCCACCAAGAATTTCCAGTGCAGCAGGGGACAGGACAGCCACTAGCACTGCTGGGGAGGACTTGCTTATAGGTGATAAAAGCCTGTGCACATATAGTTATTCAGCTCCCCAAGTGGGCTGTGATGGCCAGCATGGCTTTCCAGAACATGCATTAACTGTGCTCCCTGACCCCCAGGATCCGAGGCACCAGCTACCAGAGTCCTCACGGCATCCCCATTGACCTGCTAGACCGCCTGCTCATTGTCTCAACGTCCCCCTACAGCGAGAAGGATACCAAGCAGATTTTGCGCATCCGGTGGGCCACCCCGGCCCCTTTATGGGGACACTAAGATTAGATGGGGAGGGATTCGCTCAGGCCCCTGTAACTGGGACACCAGTGTGGCATCCTACCAGTGGGAAGCACCCTGGGGTGGTGCCTCTGTGGTTCTGAGACCTGTGTCACGGGTGCTCTGGGCATGGGTGGGGTGCTCTGGGGATGGGCGGAGCAGATCTGCCATTCTGCCTGGCTGAGGTGTGCCTGCCCATAGCTGTGAGGAGGAAGATGTGGAGATGAGTGAGGATGCCTACACAGTTCTGACCCGCATTGGGCTAGAGACCTCCTTGCGCTACGCCATCCAGCTCATCACAGCAGCCAGCCTGGTGTGCCGGAAAAGAAAGGTAAGCCAGCAGGTTAGCTTGGAGGACTAAAGGATGGCCCTGGGTATCCCATGGGCCATGGCACATGGGTATTCAGTGGGGACTAAGAACCACAGCGATCTTAGAGGAAAAGGCTGTGGGGGAGGTGGGCTCGGACCCATATCCCCACACTGACATGACCCGTCTGTCCAGGGCACAGAAGTGCAGGTGGATGACATCAAACGCGTATACTCCCTCTTCCTGGACGAATCCCGCTCCACACAGTACATGAAGGAATACCAAGATGCCTTCCTCTTCAATGAGCTCAGTGAGTAGCCCACTCGGGCTGCTGCCACTGTGGGGGGGGGGCTACGTGGGAGCACCCTAGACCTCACTCGGGCTGCTGCCACTGTGGGAGGGGCCACGTGGGAGTACCCTAGACCTCACTCGGGCTGCTGCCACTGTGGGAGGGGCCACGTGGGAGCACCCTAGACCCCACTCGGGCTGCTGCCACTGTGGGAGGGGCCACGTGGGAGCACCCTAGACCCCACTCGGGCTGCTGCCACTGTGGGAGGGGCCACGTGGGAGCACCCTAGACCTCACTCGGGCTGCTGCCACTGTGGGAGGGGCCACGTGGGAGCACCCTCGACCTCACTCGTGCTTGGCTCCCCCTCTCCACAGAAGGCGAAACAATGGACACCTCCTGAGCTGACACTCCGCCCCAGCCCTGCCCACCTCGTTTTCTACAGATTCTGGCACTGACTTTGTATAAAATGGTTGGAAACTGGAACCCTGCTGTGTGTCCTCAAAGCCCACGGACACCCAAGTGCAATTGTAAAGCCTTTATTGGGAGGGATGATTGGAACACTTGCCAGCTCCTTGAGATAGAGAAGTTAGGGGGTGGGCCTCAGAGGAGGAGGAGGCCAGGGAGGTGGGGGAGGTCACAGGCCAACGGTTGAGCCTTGGGACCCCCACAGTCATAGCTACTGAGAAGGCAGGGCCCACAGCGGCAGCTGAGGGCCACAGGGAAGGAGACCACGGGGTCCACACCAGGTGGGCAGCCAGGCAGGCGCACAGACGCGAAGCGCTGCTCTTGGTAGGTGCACACGGTCTGGTGTGCAGGCGGAAGGATGGTCTTCAGTATTCGCACCTGGAGCCCCGGGGAAAAGTCATGAATGCTCCCGTACCCTGACCAGGCTCAGTATCCACCTGATTTTCCAAACCCCCAGAGTAGCTGTGACCCTGCCCAGGTGCCACCCTCTTTGCCCCACTGCCACCGCCCATCTTGGGTCTAGCTGAGGTGATGGTACTTTGTGAGAAGTGAGGTCCCAGCCCATTTGGTGAACTCACCATGCTAGGACAGTAGCCGGCACAGATGCTGGTGGTGAAGGTGATGCAGACGGGGCAGGCCTCATTCTCTGCAGCCAGGGTTGCGTTGATAGGCTGGCACAGTGGCCTCAGGGGGCCCCTGGAGGCCCACACTGCACTCGGGCTCAGCAGCAGCCACAGCAGCAGCCCCTGGGACATAGCCAGTGACTCAGTCTAGCCCTGGGTTTGCTGTCCCAGGCTCTGGGCCCACTCGGTATAATATTGATCCTGGCCTTCAGGACCTGCCATCAAGTCCTTTTTTGTCCTTGGAGTCACCAGTCAGGACACCCCCACCCCCCACAGGTCACAGGACTGTCCATCTGTGCCAGTTAGGGTCTGGTGGAATTGGGAGATGCCCAGGGCCCTATACTCTTACCTGGAGCCTCTCCATTCTTGATGCCTTCCCTACCTTGGTCACCTAACTTTATACCTGCGGGTTGTGGGGGTGGCAAGGCCACCAAGCAGCAACTGTAGGCTTGGGTAACCTAGACACTAATCTCTTTGGGGGCGAGAGACAGACAAGGTCAGGGAAGTGAGGGACCAGCAGTGATTGGCCTCACACTCACCCCAGGTGTCTGAGTCTAGCCAATGTTGGGAGTGCAGGAAGGACCCTTGGACCCTTCACCCCCATCACAGGAGGAGAAAAAGGTGAACTCTATGGGCTGCTGACTGGGTCCCTCTGTGCAGCGTTATAAAAAGGAACAGCTTCGGCGTTAGGTTCCTCCTGCGCCAAGTGGGTCTCCAAATTTACTATACCCAGACACTTTCAACCAGAAGTGGAGCAACCGCCCCCACCCGACTCCCTAATCAGGATGCGTGGATCCAGATGTGCGTGTGATTTCAGCTATAAAACTTGATTACTAAGCTCCACATGGAGGAGGCTTTTCTGCAAGCGTGGGGTATGGCCAACCCATCCACAAATCCAGTGCTGGAGTGTATGTCTGCCTGTGAGTGAGGCTCACACCAGCTCTGCCTTGGCACTCCCATAGCGGGAGTTCTCGGTGCAGTAGGCCTTGGGCACACTGTGGATGCCAGGCACTGGCTTCAGGTGGGGGCCTCCCCAGGGTGCCTCTAGTGGGCAAAAGCGGTCCAGCCTGCGGAGTGGGTGCACTGGCGGCCTGTAGGACTCCAGGGTCAAAGGCAGGGCCCCTAGGTATGGCACAGCTGGTGGTACTGGGCGCGCCCGGGCTAGCCGTTCCCTCGGTGGTAGCTCAAGGTGACAGGAAGCCTGTGGCTTCTTCGGACAGCTCCAGCAAGTCACTGTTTTCTGGCCAGGATATCCAGACAGCTCTTTCCTGGGGGAGGGGACAGCAAGTGAGTAGACCCAGGCGCAGCAGAGTTCAGATTCCAGGGCCTGGAAATTGCTCTTTCTACCATGGAGGAGGCTCTGGATCTTGAGCTGAAGAGCTTAGCTTGGGTCAGTACTGAGGTCCCTGTCTTTGCAGATGGAACTGCTGAAGGGCTGTGCCTACATAGGCACTTGAGGAGCATAGGCTCACCTTGAGAAGTCACGTGCAGAGGTTGTCAGATAGGGCTGGAGGCGGTCCAGGACACCCATCTTGCTCACTGTAAAGGGCTGGCCAGCCAGCTCTAGGTTCCTTGTCCAGGGGATGAGGGCCTGAGGAGGATTGGGAAAAGAAGTGGACAAGAAAGTTATTGGGTGTACCCTATTAAAGTTCTCCCACTAGACTTTGTGCCTCAAATCAGGGCCCTTGGGAGCACTGCACCCAAACTCAAGCTGTGGTCACACTCTTCCCAGCCCCCTCCTAGTCTAAGCAGTTACTGGCATCGGACGTTCAGTGCATCTGGATAACAATCCCACCTACTGATTCCTCACCCAGGAAACCTAACTTCATCTGCTAACTTGACCCTGCCTCAGAATATTCTAGTCCAGCTCTGAGGAGCATCTACTTAGCTTAGTTCATTGCACCAGCACCCCACAGCTTCAGAAGCAAAATTGAGACTCGCTCTGGGCTTCATCCCCAGAGTTCAATCTAACCCAATGCCTTTTAGCTACACCCTCAAATGCAAGCTTCCTCCAGCCAAGTGGTTGTCTGGACCCTAACCCTCTGGGCAGCCCAGGCTCCTTCCCACCGTGCCCAAACCCACTCTACCTGGGAAGGGCCCCCGTGGTAGTGGTCAGCAAGCTCCAGGGGTTGGGGCTCCGCAAAGAGAGGGGCACTCTGGTCCAGACTTGGACAGCCGGTGTACTGTGCCTTCATCTCGCTGATCTGGTATTTTGTGTTCAGGGGGACACCCCAACCCTGGTGGCTTCTTAGCTACAAGAAGGCGATCCAAAGATGAGGAAGCAGGGACTCCAGTGTCCAGCTCTCCATCCCACATACTGCAAGGCTCCATAACCCTACCTTCTCAGCCAAAGACTTGATCCCTAGTGGCCGCCCAGGGTCCTCATACTCTGCTGCCTTGGGCTGAGCACAGGGCCCACCGTGAGTCTTGGCCGTGTATGCCGATCCCGAGGTGGTTTCCCATCTGCTGATGACTTCGTCAAAAGCCCAGATGTGCGGGTCGTGCTTCATGGCTGCAGGCAGGGGTGCCACGACCGTAGACTGGGGAAAGGGCATAGTTCAGCCAAAAAACCCAAGGAGCCTTCCCCTTTCCTTCCTTCAGCTCCTGGCGTGCAGGCTCCCAGGCCTCGTCTCCTTTAAGACAAGAGTCTAACCCTAGTCTTCTTTCCTCCCAGCACACAGGTTTGTCAACTGCCCCCTTTTTGTCTTGCCCTCTGCCCGGGGGCTTCTCACCTGCAGAGTGGGCGGAGGAAAGGGCGCCGGTGGGATCCTGTGGTGGGCGACCCCGCTGCTGGTGAGATGCCAGCTGGGCCAGGTTCCAGGAACCTCAGTTTCAGAAATGGGGGACCAAGGGGACCCATATCGCAGAGCTAGGGTCCGGCCTGCCATGGTTCTCACTCTCTCGGAAGCCAAGAAGCGGCTTGTGGTGTGGCCGTTGCCCCTCGTAACAGAACCCGCCCACCCTGAGCCCGGCCAATGGTTTGGGGAGGATTCGGGGAACCCAGACCAGGACTTTGAAAGACGATGGAGAAGACCCTAAGAAAGACGGGCACAGAAACAGATACGTGAAGAAGGGTGGAGACTTCAAGAGACGAGGAGAAAGGAAACAGGAGGTCAGGGAAGGCGACACTGCAGACTAGAAGACAGACTGACTCGGGGGGTGGGGAACCAAACGCCCCTTTCCTGCAGGGCCCCTGGCCCAAGGGCTGCCTCCTTGACTGCCAGGCCTGCCCGCCGCAGGGTAACAGTTTCCAGACAGCTCTTTTCCATGAAGGCTGAAGGGCCAGCGTCCCCAGTCATGCCTGCCTTTCATTTGGCTGAAAACTTCCACCTGGGTATGGGGGCGGGGGACCGAGGGAAAGAAATACACCGGGAAACACTTAGAAAAGAAAGGGGGGCTCCACCCACAGAAAAGAGACAGGAAGTCAGACATAGAGGGTGGGAACAGGGCCACCCTCGGCATCAGGGGCAGATTCTGCCCCGCTAGTGGTCCAGGCTCACTCAGGTTGGGAGAAGCTGGCCTCCAAAGAATATGTTTACACACCCTAGGCCTGTTGCTCCAACACTGAGGATGTTGAGTCGAGCCTGGTCTACTATGGAGAGACTCTGTCTCCCAGGTGTCCCAACACTGGAGATGAGGTGGGGTGTGGGAGAGGGATCAACCGTTATGAGCACTTGTTCTTGCAGAGGACGTGGGCCAGGTTCAGTTCCCAGCACCCACATGGTGCCTCACAAACATTTGTAACTTCAGATACACTTCTCTGATACCATGGTATACATCATACATGAAAGTAAAACATTCAATACACAGAAAATTAAAGAACTCTTGCTAGGCGGTGGTGGTGCATGCCTTTAATCCCAGCACTCAGGAGAATCTCTGTGAGTTCTAAGCCAGTCTGGTCTACAGAGTGAGTTACGGGACATGTTCCAAAGCTACACAGAGAAACCCTGTCTCAAAAAACTTAAAAAAAAAAAATTACGGTCATCCTCAGCAACATATTCTAGATCTAGGCCAGTCTGAGCTTCATGAGAACCTGTCCCAGAACATTAAAAGAAAAAAAAAAATGGTGTGTGTGGGGTGTGGTCCAGTTGATGGTCTGCAGGAAGTCCTGGGTTCCCACCCCAGCACTGCATAAATTGGGAGTAGGCGATACAAAGCTCAACACTTCCTAAATTCGAGGCCATCCTGAGCTGCCTGAGACCCTGACTCCAGAATCAAAACTAAACAAAAAAGTTGGATCAGCCTTGGCCAGGTCAGGTTCCCAGTGCTTCAAGGCCTTTCACTGACCGCATCCTCAAGTTCTGGGGTCCACCCCGCCCCCAGCCTCCCAGTCTGTGTAGCCCAGGCTGCCCTGGAACTGGAGGCAGTCCTCTGTCTGCAGCCTCTTGGGTATTAGGATTACAGGCGTGTATCACGATGAAGCCCCACTCCTCAGCAGACAAGACCGGCCTTGAACTCCCAAGCGCTGCCATCGCAGATGCCCTCCACTATCTATGATATGGTACTCAGGACCTGATGCCCGCTAGGCAAACAGCCTACCAACTGAGGCACAACCCTGTTTACATTCCTTTTTCACATGTCCCTTTCCCTCTTGTCAGGGTGGGCCAGGGTCCTCTGGTATTGGAATGGTCAGCAGAGTGATGTCTTAGGTCTAATAAACAGTAGATGGCAAACATTGGCTATTATTATTACTGTCAAGTTCCTCCAGGAGAACTTCTATTCATCTCTTAAAGCTGTTTGGTTTCATCGAACATTCCACGTAGATTGAGCTGTCAAAATGGGATTTGATTTTTTTCAGTTCTCAATCAGAAGGCACAGTTGAGCAGCCGGGTTGCCTCTGAGGTCCTTTAGCATCCAGCTCTTTTTTCCTCAAGCTCGGGCCCTCAGGCCCGGCCTGTTCTGCTGAGAAGCGTGCAGACGCAAGCTGTGTCGATCCGAATCCAGCGCCAGCCCACGCGGCCCTGGGAGTCCGCAGTCAACGCCCGCACATAGGACTGCTTTGCCTTGCATTCTGAGAGCCAGTGCCTCCGATCCACACCGCGACAACCTCCTCCGCCCACACCCGGGCCACCTTCCCCAGCGCTTTCGGCCTTGCAGCGCGTCTCGAAGAAGTACTGACGCAGGGGACTGCCACCTGCTGCAGGCACCTCGCCCAGCACTTCCACCTCGCGCCCACGCAAGTCCACAGCCGTCCGCCGGTCCGTCACCCAGCCACTCACTGCGTCGCACACGGCTAGCTCACCCCGGCGGCTCGCGGGCGCAGTCTCACTCACCCCACGCCGGCTGCGGTTGGCTGGGGTCGCTGCCGGCTCCCCATAGGCTCCAGCCTCCAGCAGGAAGAGAAGAGGGGGCCCAGAAGGGGCGCCCCTTGACAGGGCCACACGGGGAGATAGGAGGTCCCACTCAGGGGCCAGAAATGGGGGCAGGGTGGAGGATGGGGATTGGGGCTCCATGGGGATGCTGGGGAGTAGGAAAAGGAAAAGGATGAGAGAGCAGGAGTGGCGTGGGAGCATGGCTTGCACACCTGAAAACGGAGAAAGAGGCTGTCCTTAGAGAAGGAAGACCTGGGTACTAGAAGTCAGGGTCCTTCTACCTCCCCCCAGAACGGCTGTCAGCGTGGCAGACTTAGGTGTCCCCTGTGTTCTAGAACTTGGAGAATGCCTAAGTTTTGGATTAATAACTATTCAGTTCATGTGAGGGAAAAGCCGAAGCTGGACGTGGTGATGCACCGGGAGGCAGAGGCAGGAAGATGGCCGTTTACACAGGGAGTTCCATGCCAGCCAGGGCTGTATAGTCAAAAAAAGGAGAAATGATTTCTATCCGGTCAGACAGCCAGCAAATTTGGCATGGGTAAGATTTGGATTCTGGGGTGCCATTTGGCTCTCATGTCCTATAACCGGGAGGAAGCCCTGAGTCCTGCCACTTTCATGGCCTTGACTGTGGGACCGACCCAGGTGCTGGGAAATGCTGCGAGGGAGATGGAGAGATTTGAGCGTTCTAGAAGCTGCGCCGGGACTGGAAAGCAGCAGGTGAATGAATACCAGACCTGTCAGCAGCACCTCCACCTCCTCACTCTGGGGCTGGGGGCCCCCAGGCTCTGTGGGGCCCCTGTGTAGGATACAGGTAGCCTCCTCCCTGACATCTCAGGAGAGGGAGGGGGCAACCACCTGTGGAAGGAACAAAGCCGGTTACATAGGCGGATGGGGGAAGGGCACGACCCCCCTAAAAAAACCACCCTTTCCAGAGTCTTTGAAAGTCCAGGGTACCCTGGAATAGAGGCCCCGCCCACTTCCAGAGGCCCCTTCCCGGCGCAGGTGACAGCTCTGGAGGGATGGGAAGCAGATGGGGGGGGAGCAGAAAGGAGGGGCAGGTGAGGCAAATGGAAGACATTACATCCCCTCCTCCCATTCCTCCACCGGAGGTGCCGGGGGTGGGGGTGGGGGGCTGGCCTGGACACCCGGGTCCCTGCCGGCCCACGCTCAGGGCTCTGGGTCCCTGAGGCTGCTTCCTGGAATGTTCGCTCCTCGCAGGACAGGCCAGGGCCCGCCCAAGACTCCGACTGCGCATACCTGGAGTGTCTGGCTGGCCAGGCTCCGAGGTGGGGGAATGGGAAGTGTGGAGTGTGAACAGGGCAGAGGTTGACCACACCAACACAGCGAGTGCGGGTACCCGCTGCCTCCTCCCACAGACCCAGGGGTCCAAGACCGCAGAACCATCCTCCCGCAGCGAGGGTGTCCTGGTTCCCCAGAAGCCTCCGGCTGCAGACTAGATTTCTTGGACTCCAGCCGCCTCCTCCCTCAGACCCCACAGGTTCTGGGGTTGCAGTCTCTCCTCCAAGGTGCTTATAAATAGGGACTCCCTGTTTCTCCATCCAGGAAAATTGGACTGGGGATCCCTACTCCCTGATTCGGCTGGAGGGGATCCGCTCCACCATTAGGACACTTCCGTCCTGCCTCAGTTTCCTTCGCCAAGCCCCGCCCCTGACGGCCCCGCCCCCGTCCCTCCCTACCCGGGGGCCGGGCGACCTGGACGGCGGAATCTGGCAGGGGAGGCGCGGAGCTCCTACCTGGGGCGCCCTTCTCTGCTCCCCGGCTGCCCTTGGCGCCGCCGCGGCTCCTCCTCCGGCTCGCTGGCAGCTCGGACGCCCGCTGCTCGCCGGCAACTCGCCGTTTGCGCTTGGGAGGGCCTGGGTCTGGGAGGAGGCGGGGCGGCGCCCGACGGCGGAGGAGGGGCGGGGGATCCCGCCTAGCACGCGCGAGCCGGCACCTCGGAAGCCGGGCCTCGGCAACTTCAGTTCCAGGCGTCTGGGCTGTAGCCCTCCTCCATCAGACACTGGGGTCTAGACCCCGCCCCTCCTCCCTCAGACTCAGGCGTGCAGGCTCCAGTCCTTCAGACCCAGCGTTCACAACTCCAGCCCTCCTCCCTCAGACCCAAGGATGCAGTCTCCAGTCCTTCTTCAGACACAGGGGTCTAGGCCCCATCCTTTCCCTGCAGTTCTCCGCTCAGGCCTGGGATTGCTGTGGTGTCTAATGCAGGTTCCCACCCTCTGCTCCTGTCTCCCGCCTTGGATCTCCCTGCCAGACATTAGCCAGCTGGGCTTGTACAGTGATAAGGCCCAATGCCTAAAGACAGAGACTGCGGGGCTCCCCCACATAGTCTTCTATCCTGGAATTTCCTGGCTGGGAACCAGGGAGTCCTAGGGCAGATAAGAAAACTTCAAGGTAGTTAGAGTGAAGCTTTAAGAACTGTGACTTGCCTAGCGACTGTGACCCACAGGGAAAAGAAGACAGGGGACAAAAACCCAGTCAGAGAAGCCAGACCCCAGAGGGAGGAAAACACTCCAAGCAGTGGACCTCAGGAAGAAAGGCAGGAGGCACCCGTGTCACTGCAGCAGGATGGTCCCTTGGGTGGCAGGGCCCTTTGCTCTCCCATATCCCTCTCTGGGACTCTGGCTCCCCTACCCCAAGCTATATTTAGGAGGAAAGCTGACACTTGCCTTTGGGGGGGTCACCCAGCACCCATCCCCCCAACCTAAATATAGCATGGCAAAGCGGCAGGAAGGGTGTCCCCCGATTAGGGTTTTCCCCTCAACTTGCCATCCCAGCCAGGGTGACTCAGAGCCCACTCCAGTTGTTTACTGGAGGTGGGAAGAGACACTTCCTAGCCTGGGTGTCCCTTGGGTCACCCTTCAGACCTCTCATCCTTTCCTAACACAGTCCATCCCTACGGAGAGAGCCCAGCTCCTCTGGGAGGCAAGGAGGGGTCGCGAAAGAAGAGGGAAATTCGGTCTCTTTTCTTGGTCTCTCTCTCTCTCCCCCTCTCTTTTTCCTCCCCTCCCTCCCCTGGTCTCTTTGCTCTCTGAGCTCTTCTCTTCTGCCTGGCACCTGTCCTCTCTCCAGGGCACACTTCCTCTGCTCCATCATCTCTTCTGTGTATTCCATGGTGAAATCTGTGTTCTGCATCTCTGTCTTTGATCCCTGCATGCAGGTCAGACTCCATTTCTACGAATATGAGTCTATGTAGCGAGAAGCAACCACCCTGAGACTCTCCCGTGTCCATCCCCATCATGCCCTCTCCCCCATCCCTCCTTTCTCTGGCACGGCAAGATGGCTGGTGCTGACGAGGGTCCTTCTCACATCCTTTCCCTCATGTCTGATGGCTCCAAGGAGGCATATCCTCCCAGCAGCCCGCCTGAGATGCTTTACCCTCTGGTCTTAAGCAAGAGTTCATATGACTGAAGCAGGTGGCATCGTTATCAAAAATAACTTGACACTCGGCACCAGTGAACAGGTTTTAATAAATTAATGCCAGTCAAATAACTTGAACTCTGTAGGTGTTGTAACCGCTCTCCTCTTCCTAAAATGCCCTCAAGTCTCAGAAGCCTCTGAAAATGTCTCTCTGTAGCCTAGGGTAATGCTGTTCCTGTCACTATCAGCTTCTCCCTCTATGTGATGCAGGGCCTTGCCGGGCATGGCGGTGCATGCCTTTAATCCCAACACATCAGAAGCAGAGGCAGGAGGATCTCTGTGAGTTCAAAGCCAGCCTGGTCTACAGCTTGAGTTCCAGGACAGTCAGAGCTACAAAGAAGTATCGACCCTGTCTCAAAAAACAAAACAAAGCAAAAAGACACAGGACCAGTGACCTCCAGCAATACCTGCACACCAGAAACTGTGGAGGTGTCACAGGCAGGCCACCTGCCACCAGTTCTGGCCCCATGACGTGCTGGGTGACCTTGGGGGAAGCCACAGCATTTTACAGCCTTGGGTTTCTGCCCTAGGAAACACAGAGCACCTCCAGGAGTGTGGTGGCCTTCCTTGGCTGTGAGGGGTGCTGACGCCATGGCTTAAGTCTGCTATGACTCAGAGAACAGAAAGGGTGACCCTTGGGCTCAAGGCTACCACGGTTTCTGCTCTCTCTCTCTCTCTCTCTCTCTCTCTCTCCCTTTCTCTCCTTCTCTCTCTCTCCTCTTCAGTACATCTCTCTTTCTTTCTGCATGTCCGACATCCACCACGCTGTGCCCATTCCTCATTCTTGGTTTCCTCTCTCTGGGCCTCTCCCCGTCTCCTCTTCCCCTTTCTCACTCTCTTCCCTTTCCTTTCTCTCCTCTCTAGGTCTCTGTCCCCCTGTCATGTCTGGTCCAAGCACCTATTCTTTCCTCCTGTGATTTTCTTCCCTTGTGACTCCAGTCTTTGAATCTCTGTGCCAAAGCTTGGGGCAGCATAGAACTGGATCCCAAATGAGCAGGGTAAACTGACTGCTAGTTCCCACAGAGCCTCTCCAGATGATTGGGGCAGCGGGGAGGGGGACCCACCCAGGGAGACAGAAACACCCGCTCTACAGGGCATACCCCTGAGCAAGCTTGTTCAGTGGGCCACATACACCCTGTGCCCGTGCTTGCTCCCTTACACTTAGTTTTATCTGCACTGTGACCCTTGGGTCCCGATGGTCCTATGGCCCTCACATACACTCCCACGGGACACGCAGTGACATGAGTCAGCATGGGCCCATGAGAACAAAGATGTCATCAGACTTGGGAGACTCCCACTGTCACACATCTCCAGATGTCTCAGCTTTGCACGGCCCTAAGCAGGTTCTAGTCAAGTAACACTAGACAGCACAGAGAACCATTGCTTGTGGCCTCTGTCCCTTCTCTGTCCCTTACTCTCTGGGTCTCTGCCTCCTTCTATCTCTTATACTCTTACAATCTCCTTTGTACCTCCACACAGCAGTCACGTGACCACTTTAACAGTGGAGCCAGCTTGGCCCTAGGGAATCAAAGCCACATAACTGCTCATCATATACTTGAATGAGACCCCCCACACAGACCCAGGAAACCCACAACTTATGGCAAGTCTCTTTCAGTGCAACCCATAGGGGCCCCTGGAGATTTGCACAGTCAATGGGGAACCCCTGGACTCAACCCAAATTATGACCATTCACATCTACTTAAGGCCCCCCTAGAAACTACCACGTGACATAACTTCACATTCGGTCTCTGTTCCTTAACCCAGCACCTGCCTGCCTTCCCACCTCCCTCCCACCCCACTGCTTCCTGAAGACCCCAGCAGTCCCTCACACCTCAGTCACCATGTGTTTCCCAGCGGGGGGCCAGAGCGGTGGTAGAAGTTCAGGCACCTCAGCGTCCACCAGCCCCCCATTAGCCTTGCCCTCCAGTGTGATGCAGGGCTGTGTGTCCACATGGCTGTACATTCCTGCCTCTTCGCCCTCTGTCTCCCGGTGGTAAAAGTAGCTGAAGTTGGAGACAATGACCGGCACGGGCAGAGAGATGGTGAGCACACCCGCAATGGCACACAGAGAGCCCACAATCTTGCCACCCACAGTGACAGGTGCCATGTCTCCATAGCCAACTGTGGTCATGGTGACCACTGCCCACCAGAAGGACTCCGGGATGCTGGTAAAATGGGTGTCCACCCGGTCTACTTCCGCAAAGTAGACTGCACTGGAAAAGAGAACCACACCAATGAAGAGGAAGAAGATGAGGAGACCTAGCTCACGCATGGAGGCCCGCAGCGTCTGACCCAAGATCTGTAGGCCCTTTGAATGCCTTGATAGCTTGAAGATACGGAAAACGCGCACCAATCGGATGACCCTTAGGATGGCCAGTGACATAGCTGGCTGACCCACACCGCGCTGCCGGGCTAACTCGGTGCCCAGGGCCACAAAGTAAGGCAGGATGGCCACGAAGTCAATAAGGTTCATCACATTCTTGAAAAATATGGCTTTGCTTGGGCAGGCCACCAGACGCACCAGCAGCTCAAAGGAGAACCAGCAGATACACAGGGTCTCCACCACAAAGAAGGGATCATTGAAGGGCAGGCGGGAAGAAGATCCTGGCATGGGACTGGAGCCATTCAGCCGAGAGAGGAACTGCAGAGGGGACAGAGAGGGTTAGAGCCAACACCTTAGTCACTGTTTCCACATCAAAGGACAGTAGCCATGATCCCAAGGCTCCCCAGGGATCTCACTGTCCTATACAACCCAAGACCCTAGGGACTATTTTGGATGGCTGACTTTCTGTTCTTCAGGCATATGGGCAAAAAGGTGTCTCCTGGGCCTGGTGGTACAGGTCTCCTACCAGGAGACTGAGGCAGAAGTAAATTCAAGGCAGATCTGGGCAACTTAGTGAGATTTTGTCTCAGAATAAAAAGTGAGGAGCTGGAGAGGCGGCTCAGCAGTTAAGAGCACGGGGCTACTCTTCTAGAGGACTTGGGTTCAATTTCCAGCGCACACATGGCAGGTCACAACTGTCTGTAACTCCACACCAGACATGCACGTACCCATACAAAATACCCATACACAAAAGGTAGAGTACAAAAATCCTTAAAAATAAAATAAGATGGGAAAAGAGGGTTGGGGATGTAGTTCATTGACACAGCTCCTGCTTGGAACCCCTCTGTGAGGAGTGAGGGGTGTGGCTCAGTGATAGTGTTCCTGAGTAGAATCCCCCAGTGAGGGGTCAGTGGTGTGGTTCAATGTAGAGCTTCTGTCTAGCATCCCCCAGTGAGAGTCTGAATCGGTGATAGAGTGCCAGCCTAATGTTCCGGATTCCACCACGGCACATCAAAAACTGAAACAATGCCAATGGCCACAGCATACACCTTTAAGCCCAGCATTCAGAAGGCCAGAGACGGTTGGATCTCTGTGAACCTAAGTCCATTCTTGGTCTATATAGCAAGCCCAGGCCACCCTGGCTACATAAGACCTTGTTTATAACTTGGTTTTCCATGTCTATAATTTTTTAAATAATTTAACCAAATCCCAGCATTCGGGAGGCAGAGGCAGGGCAGATCTCTGTGAGTTCGAGGCCAGCCTGGTCTACAAGAGCTAGTTCCAGGACAGGCTCTAAAACTACAGTGAAACCCTGTCTCGAAAAACCAAAACCAATAATAATAATAATAATTTAACCAAAATGCAGTCCCTGCTCTTTCACTGATGGAAACTCTTGAGCTCATGGTTGATCAGGGAGAATCTTTCCTTCCAGTATTTTGCCCACCCCCCGTCTTGAATCTCTGAGGGGTTCTGCCTTCTGCATGCCTAACCCCCAGCCCAGACTATAACGGTTCATAATGGTCCTAGGTTTTGCTGTATGGCCCTCAGCTCCACACCCCAGCGGCATTCCTGCTACTTCACCGCTCCAGTTCACTCAGAGTAGGCCTGGCCTGACTGTCCGTCTTTCCTAGCTCTCTGCCAGACGGGCAGACACTGCTGTCTTCCGTTTCTTTGACCCCACATGCTCATTTCACAGTGGTAAGAATGGAGCCCAGGACTTCGCACATGCTTGGCAAGCTGTGCTCCGCTGATCCATCCACGCCCCCAGCCCCTCACTGAGGGAGTGTAGGCAGGAGCACTATCTTCTCAGTGGGGAAATCTAGGCAGGGCCTCTGTCACTGAGCCACATCCCTCACTGGGGGTTCTTTTTAAATTTTTTTTTTCTTTTTAAATTTTTTACTTATTGTTTTATGTGCTGGGGAGGTTCACCTGCATACGTCTGTGTCCCACATGTGTGCCTTGGTGTTCAAGGATGCCAGAAGAGGGCATTAGACCCCAAGGAAGTGGAGTTACAGATGAATGTGAGCCATCATGTGGGTGCTAGGAATTGAATCTAGCTCCACAGTCAGTGCTCTAAACGGCTGAGCCATCTCTCCAGGTCCTTCACAGTGTAAGGGTAGGCAGCAGCTTTACTACTGAGTCCCACAAGCCCCAACCCCTAACCCCTCACTCTGTGGGGTCTATGCAGAAGATCTACCACTGACTCACATCCCAGTCCCTGCTGGGGATTCTGAGCAGGCTGTCTACTGAGGCACATTCTCAGTCAGTGTTAGGTTGTTTCGGGGCAGGCTCTCATACACACAGTAACCCAGACTGGCCTTCAACTCGTGGCAGTCTTCCTATCCCGGTCTCCTGAATGCTGGGATTCACATACCCAGCTTGTGTCTTTGATTTTTATGCTTCCCTCCTTCTGCCCCTGGCCGCACCTTCTGACTGGCCAGGTCTTCCAAGACCCCGCCCCGGCCCTCCCGAAATCCCCGCCCCTCACCGGGCCAGTGGCAGCCGCCACCGGCGCGAGTCCTGGGTCATCGCGGTCGTCGCGGAAGTCTGGCAGCGTCTCGAGGCAAAAGACCACGATGGAGACCAGGATGACGAGCACGGAGACCACGGCGAGCACCCGCGCAGCCTGCGAGCTCTCGGGGAACTCAAAGAGCAGCCAGAGCTGGCGCGCAAAGGCGTGGCGCGGCAGCGGCCGCTCGGGGGGCACCGCGCAGCCTTCGT